TTGAGAACAAACATATTTATCATATTTTGTGAGGACTACATTAACGTACTTCACATCTTAGATTAACACAGAAATGTGAAAAGTTCTTGACAAATCATTTCGTTTGGTGAGTTGAACAATTAAATTCTCCCATCTTCCATTATCTTTAAAACTATTTGGCAAAATAAAAAGTACCACTAAAGAAGTCTCAAGTTTTATTTTCCATGTTCACATACATGGAAAAATATCAAATGTGCAACCACTTAGTGGTACTGACCTCATAAATACCAACTGTGCACACATTTTGATATGGTCACAGATGTTGGAAACACCAAACCTGGGTCATATATAACTTGCAAACTGAACTGAAATCATTAAAAATATATTATTCTTTATTTTTAAATAAGTGTATCACTGTTGAACAATTTAAGTTTTTACTTTTGTTAGCAACAAAATTTAGTGTTTGAAAATTTTTGCTGCACAATTTGGTGCCAGTAAAATTTGAACATCAACATTTCATTCACATTATACTTACAAACATGGTGTGTGTGCTTACTGTACAAGTAGTTAATTTCATCCTGTTTACACATATCATACAAACGTCAGTTGAACAAGTAATAACTAATTAAGATTGTGGAATACTGAACAATGGATGTCACATCAAAAAATCATTACAGGTACTCTTAGCCACTAGATGTTATATGATTTCCAATTAAGTCTATTACTGTACTGTACACACTAAGCTACAATATCAGTCCACCTTTGGTCCTTAATTAAGTTTATCACTGTACACATTAAGCTACAATATCAGTCCACCTTTGGTCCTTAATTAAGTTTATCACTGTACACACTAAGCTACAATATCAGTCTACGTTTGGTCCTTGCGAAGCTTCTCCCAAGCTGAGACTGAGCCGAGTTATTTTTAAGAAAAACAAGTCTCATTTGAAAATAAAAGAATTGTTTCTCTAATCTAATCACTATTTCTTAGCTTAAGTTCCTTATATTGACATCGTCGTAGGAAAGTGTAAATTAAACTTTTCTTCTTTGGAACAAAGATTTGTCCTCTTCTGGTTTTCATTCAGCTGCCATAAATATCTTAGTCATTGAAACTGTTCTTAACATTTCAAATACTGCATCAAGACCTTTGTTTGTTGATCAATAGCTTAGTCATTAAAACTGTTCTTAACATTTCAAAGACTGCATCAAGAACTGTTTGTTGATCAAAAGCTTAGTCATTAAAACTGTTCTTAACATTTAAAAGACTGCATCAAGACCTTTGTTTGTTGACCAGCAACAAATTAGTTTAACACCTCATGCACCAAAGATTCCAAGTTCATGTAAACTCTCACAGGCATCCATGGCAAAAATATGATATCAAAGTAAAAGCTATATTTTGTGATTTTTTGATCAAACCACAAGTGATTAATTGATTCACTAATGGATGTGACATTCTTATGAGAGAGACTGTTACCAAACACAAATCCAGAAAAGATACCTGACCAATATATTTTTCCAATAATTTTTACACTGATAAATGTCAACTAATGTATAAAACCAAATAGTAGACTCTTTCAACCCATGTGATAAATTTATATTTCAGTTATAAAAGTAGAATATATCTTTTAAAGCTGGCACAATATTTGTTAAATCCATTAACATCTTCTTTTTACCACATTTCCAGGACTTTTAAATCAGCCAGTTTTAATAAAAAATCACCAATTGGACTGTTATATAATTTATATATGTAATATCCATTATATGTTTAGTCATTTTAATGTCAAATTCTCAGAAAAATTCAAATGCAATTTCTACAAAATCAAATAGAAATTGAACTGATTCAAATCAAGCACAAGTGAGCACATATAACTTTGAAAGAAATAATACATACAGATTTTTAACCCTATCACCACAGGTATCCTTTACTGAGCATGTCAGAAGGTATTTAGTGACTTACAATCAAAATTTAATGAAACTACTTTTTGTTTATGTTATACCAATTAGTATAGCATAAAATCATAGCTAATAATCCATACTTTAATAGTATACAAGTTTTAAGTTCTTAATTTTATAAGGAAATATTAAAAAAATCCTGAATTTCACCTCGTGTGAGAAATGTGACATTTTCTCTAGGCATCCCCTCTTCTCTAATTCATTCACCACCCCTCCAATAAGTACAAAATTTAATGTAATTTACTAACCATGATATTATAATCACTCAAACAAAGCATAATTTTGTAGCCTTCAATCATCTTTGGTTATAGAGCCATAACATAGAAAATCAGACCACTCTTACAACACCCACCTGTCACACATTTTCAGGATTTGTTAATAGTTTTCTCATACTCTTAATACTATGTTACTTATAACCAATAAAAAGCCAAGGTTTTCATCTTTCAAATGACATATTATATTAGATTGTTTTCTGAACAGATATTTATCATTTTTACTGTTAGTTCAAGCTTTGTTCCCATGGGAAAGATAACGACTAGCTTGGATGAACTTGCAACGGCTCTTGTTGCATAATTATAAAGCCAGAAAAGTTGTGATAGTTAGGAGAAATTGTCTGCTTTTTGCAGGTTATTAATCTATGTCCTTTGGTGCATTATTTAATTAAATAAAAATTATTTAGTGCATTACTACCATTAGTATAAAAAAGTAATTAAGTGTCGTCGACAGCAAAAAAAGAAGACCTGGGTGAGTACTTTCTTTTTTGTTTTTCATGTTTATTCTTCATTTATTATTATAAAAGTAACTAAAATGTAAAAATAGGGATCTCTTTAGGTTAGTTAAGGTTAGATAAGGTAAAATAAATAATAATCATAATATAATAAAAATATTTCATGAGGCCCACATGCAAGCAGCTCGGAGTATCTCATGGGTAATATAATCAGATAGTATAATGTAAGCTCCATGTTCCCCAAGTTATTTACAACTTATAATGGTACGAATAGTAATAGTCAGACATGGTTCAAATGGAAATCAAATAGCACTAAAACAATAAAATTTAATAATAAATAGATGTATACTGTTACGGGTTCAAAGCTACTTAGGATAAACAAATGTCGTTCCATGTTACAATTTGATGTCATTCTAGAAAAAAAAAGGGTAATTTAGATTTATTTTGATTTTTTTTGGTGGTTACAAGGTCGATTAAGTTAACCAACCTTGTATACAGTTAGGGTAGAGAAAATAACAGATAAAATATAAAGTTTTACTGAAAACAATAATATGAAATGTATTTAGGAGGTTTTATAAATTACACAAATGAAATTTGAAATTTCTGAGATGAAGAAAAGTATTTTTAATCTTAACATGAAAATCACTTTCCACGCGAAATAGTAAAAAAATACTCAATATCTCACGGACAAATCTTTTTATAGTTTATTGAAAATACTTCACTAAAAATATGATTTTTTTGTATGTGAAAAACTTATAATGTTTACTGAAAGTCTGCCAAATTTTATGACTATATACATACCATATTAAAAGGTAGTAGTATTAAAACTATAATGAATTTAAACAAGTACAAACAGGTCATATGGTTGGTCAAATCGACTGAGCCCACATTAGCCCTTAACCAAACTCATATGTAATAAACGTTTTTATTCCATAATTTTCTCAGACTTCTAAGCTAGGAACATTTGACAAACAGAATTATCTTACCTCCAGCTGATGCTGCTCTGTTGTTTTCTTCAAAATTGGATTTTATTTGCTCTGTCTGTCCCTATACAAAATTTTAATAAACTTGATTTACTCTGCATGTGGTTTTGAAAATACTTCAAGATTCTCTATTGATGAAAGTAACAAAAACTATCAGAAAATTGTTCATACCCGAATGAAAACTACACAGCTAAATAAACTGTAAAAGCAACAATTACTGGTATGTAGACAATACAAATGTTAAAGTACTGGTGTATCTTGTAAAAATAAACATGTTCACCAGATAGGCTAATGCATTTTTATTTCTTTAAGTACTTTCATTTCATTTTGTTTAGAACACACAAAAATACTTTTTTGGCCCCTTCTGTATTACTTGTTTGGTTTTGTTCTAGATGCACTAGTTTAACATTATCTCCACCCAAAACTAAGTAATGAAAAAATTATTCAACCAAAGTTACGCAGTGTTCCCAGCCAAATAAACAAATTATTCAACCAAAGCTCTGCAGTGTTACCAAACCAAGATAATAAATTATTCAACCAAAGCTCTGCAGTGTTACCAAACCAAGATAATAAATTATTCAACCAAAGTTCTGTAGTGTTACAAAGCGAACAGGAA